TTTATGCTAGTGACCACAGCAGGTAGGTGTAAAGCAAAGCCATTCATGCAGTTAATGACCTGAGTAATTCAAGTCAAGTGCAAAAACGCATGATCGCACGGGCCCGCCCGGTGCGTTCCAGCCTAGGTTGCAATTTGCTTATAAGCAAAAACGCCCCTCCCCCGAATCTGTTCTGCACATGTCGAAATGGTCGCCATCAAAAATTGGTAAGCTTAAAATCAAATTTAAGCGAAATCTTCTCACACCAATCTAAGAAAATTTTAAGGTTAAAGCTTAGATTTCAGGACACAGTCGACTGAACAAGTAAATATTTGCATTCAGCTCTTCAGCACCAAAAAGCAGTGTCTTCCTCTTCCTTCTCCCCTGCCCCTCCTTCTTCCGCTCCTCACTCCCAAATCATTCTCAGTGAAGGACACAGCGACGTGGAAATAGCTTCAGTGGTAAGACGTGTGAAAATGAGTACCTGCTGATACAGCTGCTGGTGGCCTTCTTTGCTATGAGTTGTTAGGGCAAGATGTCGGTTTTGACTATGCGGCATGTGCCAGTCCCCACATACCATCAAAACAATTAAAGAGGGTCGGAGTGCACCTCTAAAGCGTGGTTAGTAGTACTTGCCAGAACTACACCATACTAGCCAATAATTATGCACTTTTTTCCAGTTTCACTATAGTAGAATTAAATAAGATTTCAGCCCGTCATAATACTTTCGTTATTTTTAGCATGCTGCATACCTGGCGAACGAGGTCCACCTGGTGATACTGGCCTTCCAGGACTGCCCGGTAGTCCTGGTCCAGATGGTGCTCCAGGTAGGCCAGGTGCAACACCGAATGCTTCCTGCATACCGGAAAGAATATTCGAACCGCCGCCATGTCTGCCGTGTCCTCAAGGCCCTCGTGGCGTTCCCGGTCATCCTGGTTTTCCAGGAGATCCAGGAGATCCTGGCATACCGGGAAAGCCTGGTAATTTGTTTGTGTTTTTTTAAACAGCTTTGACAACTGTAAGCATATTTATGCCCAATAAGTGAGATTTTTATTTAAATACACGCACTACAAGTTGTGGCCATGATGTATATTTTACTCGTTATTAATTTGTTATTATTTAGCTTCGTTATTAACAAGGACAATCAACATGAAATTTTCGTTTTATCAGCGGCACTTGAATGATGTCAGAAGCTGAGCGTAACTACGGGAGGCTCTTCAGCCCTAGCTTCACCTTTAGTTAGAGTTCATCTTGTCACAATGACATCCTACATGCAGTTCAGCTGA